CTACATCAGTGAGTAATGAATTTTATATAAAGGAGTGAACTCTGATTCTATCGACAAAATTATAAGAAACCAAATCTTAACAAAAAATTGTCACGATCAAATTTCTGAAGGGTTTATATCAATTTTCATATGTTTGGTTGTCCATGACAAGTATATAACAACTGAATTTCTATAGATTAACACAACAATGATTTTTAATTGTTTACTGAAGTATGTAGCCAATGAAATAATAAACATATAACGAGTGCGATAGAATAAATGATCCATCACTATTTTCTTGATATTTCGGTCACTTTTTATCGGCTAGACTTTATTTTTTTCAAAAGATTCGCTGTATAATTCTACATAAAACAGTGTAATTTAGTTAACTAATACATGTTTCTTTCTTTGTAGAGCATGACTTTTTTGAGCAACAAGGTCATGCACATCTTTCTAAAGCTGCATATTGCTCTATTTTTTTTCAACAAGTATTTCTATTCTTAAAATATTGAGACTTTGTTTATCATATGTTGACAGGTCATTAATATGATTAGTGTGCTAGTAATTATTACTCAGAATGGATAATTCACCATAAGGAGCGTTAAATGTGTCATAAGGAAACCCACATCGTTTTAATGATAGAAATGCCCTTTGAGAAAAAAAACAGAACAAAATACGGCTTTAGAAAGTTGTGCATGATCTTATTGTTCCAAAAAAGTCTTGCTTTACAAAGAAAGAAACATGCACTAATTTAGTAAGTTACCCTCTATTGTATAGAATTCTACGATGAATCTTTCGTCCATTACAAGTTTAGTAAAATCAATTCATCTTTAATGCATAAAAATAATTCATAATTGAATAGTGTTTTTTGAAGTTATTTTCACCTTCACAAGCCTATTTCTATCTTAAAAATATATCACCATTTCATTCTGTTATTTGTCTCAATAACATTATGTTAATTTTACGTATTGTTTACTAAAAAAACACTTATGAATAAATCTATTAATTTATAAATGTAATATATTTTTCAATATAGTCGATCTGATATCGATTGACAAACTTTGTGAAAAATGATCTAAAAGGGGTGTTGAAGTATATAGGGCACAAAGGTGAATCCCTCCGACAGACCGCCCGACAGACTTAGATATTCGATCATTGGCCGCCTATCAATAAGATCTCATTCTAATTATTTGAACTATTTCCTTATTGTATTTCTGAAGGATTAATCAAAACGATAGTGAAGAGACATGTTTAGAATAGATATAGTAAAGCCATCTCTTGTAATTAGGAGGAACTGCTACAACATGTGTCACATTTTAATCCGACAAGAGTCACACGAACGGCTTTTTGCATGCACTCGATCTAACATAGAATCAATTAATAGAAATCTATTAAAATTTTATTAAATTATAATAGTACACTTTTTATTGACAATTTTCAATAATAATTGGTGAGTTTTAATCACGAATAAAAGCATTTTTAAATAAAACAGTTTTTTCAGGCTTGTTGATTTTCATAACATCTAGAAAAATAAGTTTTCTGATCAATGAAAAATTATATTTAAAATCCTCCAAATTACAAACATGTTTTATTCGAACTTGCTTAAATTTTGATGTTATTCAAATGGCTTATTATAAATATTAATGAATGTTATCAGTCTTTGTGCATTTTTGTAAACAGTGCAAAATTGATATTATCTTAGTAACTTATCGAGAGATAGAAAGTCAAGACCGAAAGTCAAGTGCATCCTGTGGTTTGATGTTTTAGATCGAGTTTTAGAATTTATTCCATAAGGAAAAGTATTTCCGGCATCTTATTTTAATTCGAAAAATAATTTAGCCGTGTTTCTTAAAATTAAACATTTGAATTATCGATCGAATAAGGTGTTCTTAAATGTTAAAATAAAACATAAACTTTTTTCTTTGTCTTGACAAACAGATTTATTTTTGATATGATAACATGAAATGTAAAGTCAGAAAATTGAATGATTCTTTGTTTTTCATGCAATCATCGACACTAAGAAAAAGAAGCTATTTGAAAGCAACAACAATAACTTCGAATGTTTTGAACAAAAACGAGAAAAAAATAAAAGCATTTGCTTTTCTTTTGATATCGTTAATTATTGATTATGATCGATAACAACATATTTCTTAACACTTCATGTAATAATAAGAATCATTAATATAAAAAAACGCTTTTTCTTTCTAACTGATTCTTGCTGAATTTGTTTTATTTGAATCAAGGTTTTATTTCAAGAATAATACTATTCAATATCTTAAGTATCTATACTTGAATTCATCTAACATCTCACAATCATTATTATCAATACTAATAAAAATAAGGAGAAGATAGAAGAAAAAAAATTATAAGACTATCTATTTGTCAATATATTATTAGTGTAAGCTTTTCCTAGAACATATATTCTTTTATTAATTAATATCTACGAATTATTCTTCCGTTGTATAAAAGGATTGTATTCCACATACTCTTTGTCTATAATTGTCTTTTTTCTTTTTTTTTTTGATTGAATGTCTGTAATTTAGTTTTAGTCAAATAGATATAATTTATTGAGTTATAAATTAGTAAGACGTGAAGATATAAGTAAGTGATGAGATATATGATCATCATTTTCTGATTGTAGAAAAAAGTTAGTTTGTCTGTAATTAAAAAGAAACAAAAAAGGATTTGGATAATTTATTGCCTTATATATATGCAAGGTTTACACTCTCGTTGCTTTCACTTCACAGTTTGACACGAAAGCATTGAAATTTATATATACAAAAGTCAGAAATATATCTTTTTTCCTTGTACTAATCCAATAAAACTTTGAATTTGATGTTGTTTTGTTTATTTTTATTTCTATATATATATATATATTTTAGCACTATATTCCTATCCATTATTCTTCTTTTATCTCAACGTACATATTCATGATGCTGAAAATTAATTTGATATTAATATTTATTTGTGTAGAAATATATTTTATTAATTGCCACACAATTAATCATATGCAGGTAGGATTAATATGTTTATTAAGTTAATTTTTTTTTGCGTATTTTTTGAAAAGAGAAATCTTTGGTCTGATTTTGATCTTGAACCAACGGATGTATTCCTTGCTAAACTTTTACACATAGAAAATTTATTTGAAAACGAAAATTTACCAATAAATACATTAGGTCAATCTGATGATCGTCCACCTCATTTACAAAAACGTGGCCGACGTAAGTCTAATTCAATATTATTAAATTACTTTAGTTTTATTGTTTTCTTTTTTTTTTGTTTTGTGTTTTAAGAATGTTTATGGAAAGTATGTAGTTGGGCACTTGACAAACGTTCACCGTCATCAGATCCTGGAAGTGGTTTATAGAAAAAAATTATTATATTGAAGAAAAAAATAAATTTGCAAATAGTTCCTTTGCAGTTTATTATTTTCTTTCTTTTGATCATAATGTATATTGTTTGATGAACAATTTCAATATAAAATAAATAAAAAAAGTTATTATCTAACCTAATAATGAATCCATATGATTAAATTTATTAAGATTAACTTTTAATCGTTCTGTTCGAGGTGAATTCGGTTTTGTCGATGATTTTGAATGATTATCTGATTGATGCAATTTTTCATCAGATTTTGTAGACATAGTTATTTCTTGTGGTTGATCATTTAATATTAACGGAGGTGATGGTGTTAAATGTTGTCGTCGTTGAACTTTTAATGTTTCTTTAACAGTAGGTAAATTTGAAATACGTATATCTTGTTCAACTTTTCTTATGAATTCATTTTTAACACGTGTATACTCTTTCATTTTTAAATAATGAACGCGTGATAAAAGTTTTTCTTTTTTTCGATGTTGTCGTCGTGCAATATCAAGTTGATCAAGTGTTATACGAGAACGATGACTATCACGTATAAAATCTGCATAATGATCAGCATCAAAATCATCTCGATCAATATGTGTTGATTTTAATAAAGAAGACATTAGATATATAAAAAATTAGCTATGTAAAGAAAAAGTAAAGAGAATGTACACATAAATGAAAGTATGGTAAGGTTCTTAAAGAAAAAGAAACACGACAGAAGAAAAAAAAAAGTATTTGAGAATAAATCAATTTGAGTTGCGAACTTTTAAAAAAAAACAGGCAAATGAAAAAGTAACTGTCAGAATCAATGTTTTTTTTTTGCTGTGTAAATCTGTAGCAAGAAATCAGTAACAACAACTTCAATGCTTAAAAATTTCCGAAAGCTACACAGATTTTCTTTCGGTAGAATTTTAGAGGACAGCAGAATGACAGACAGATTTACTGAATGTCAAAAATCATTTGCTTTTGTTGTTGATCTAATTTAAGAGTTCTCTAAAATAGAACATAAATTACAATCCTTTTTTACTTCGATTATAATTTCTTTTATTTCAACGTCAATAATAATTCAAAATTAGAAGAACATCTCGAAATTCTTATTTATTTTTTTCAAGTGAATTATTTACACACTGGTGTTAAAAATAAATCAACATATATTTTTAGAATATTCAATAAGCAGACAAATATTGTATTTCGATTAAATAAAGTAAAACAATACAACAAATATCAGTGCAGAATTTTGAGATAAGTTCTCAATAAAAATCGAATAATATATAAATGCTGAAAATTTTTATCAATCCAAAATTGATTAAAGACAAACAATTTCTTATAGAACTGGTAAGGGAAAGTGCCAAAGCGATAAATCATTTTCAAGTCGAGTCTATGTGAATCATGTAGACTCTACTGAGTGATGAACACTATGAAAAGATTGCGGGCTATTAGCTCACTGTTACTAAGATACTCCATTTTTGCCATATTTTTTCAGCACAATTTTATGATACCCCTCAGCAACACTGGAAAAATTGAATTTTCAGTTTCGACTAGAAACTTTGCACAGAGACAGATCTTAACGAAAAAAGTTTACTTCAAAAGTTTTAGGATTTTCCGTTGTATATATTTGGAGATACGGCTTTGGTAAAAGTATGTTTTTTTACATTATCCATATATAGCGATACATTCTAATGTATTTATTTCAGGATAGGAGCAATCAAAAGATCTGAAACTTTCGCAATTAACTATTCTGAGAAAGATCTCTCTCGATACAAAGTTTTCAGTCAAAACTCGAAACTCAAGCTTTCAGGTGTTCCTGAGAAGGACAATACCGTAAAAATGCGGTTTCTATTCTACAATAAATTAACAGTTCGAACTCTTTTCCATGTATTCATAACTCGTTAGAATCTACATGATGTACATACTCGCGACTAGAAATATGCCGAACCAAATTTATTTGGTTCCAGTTTAGAAGCAACTAGCTCAGAATTTATATGTATCATATTTACGAATAATTCTTAACTCCTTTTTTTCTAGATTTCTTTAGTTCATGAATAACTGTTTTTAGAATATCTCTCGTGAATTATGTTCTGATTCATATGATTTATAAGATAATTTGCTTAAAATTATAGAATATGTTACTTTAAATTTGAGTACCGATCCTGACAAATTATTTTTCGTGATTCAAGTTTCATACATCTCTAGTTTCAACTCAATAACGGTCTATTAGTTATAGACCTTTCCCCGTTAGTACGATATTTGTATAGAACATTACAATTCATCTTTAAAAGAACAATATGGCATGTTTGCAATTGAGTTTTATGACTCAGAATTTTCTTGTTGAGTGTAGAAGAGAAATAAAAAATAATATTTTTCATTTAGAATCCTAACAAAGTGAGCAGTAAGAATTTTATACAATCATATCTGACATGCTATCTTTCTAAGATCAGTATATAACAAAAAAGAAAAGTGAAACTATACATATGTATTTCTATGTACAAAATGATTATCATTTACATTGTCTTAGATATTTACGACGGATATCTTGAATTTGATCATTGACTTGATCATAAACGCGACCATTAGGCTTTTTATTTACCTTATAAATAAAATTAATAGATGTTAGAAAAAAAAAAGTATCAAGAATATTTTTACTTACATGTTTCTTAATAAATGGTTCAAGATAACGAAGAGGAATATTTATGCTATTTGGATTATCACTTATAAGATATTTCATTATTTTTGGATATTGAACAATATATTTCATATATGAATGACGACGAGCTTTGCGTTCAAGAATAGATTCTATAGATAATTTTCGAATTTCGAATTGTACTTTCCATTTTTGTGTCTGACTTTCACCAGCATCATCACCTTCATTATCATAGGAATCAAGATTTGATGTTTTTGTCGAATCTACAAACAAATAAAACTATAAAAAGAAAATAAATCAAATCTAAATCATACCACTATCTTCTTCATTGGATGACATTTCTCCATCTAAAATAATTCATTAATATGTATTATAAAATTTTTCAATCAAATTCTCACTTGTTTGTCTAGCAGCTGTATGATCTAATAAATAGAAAAAAGAAAGAATAAATTAAATACTTTTTATTAAAATTTATTTCTTATGCCTCTTTCTGGTAGTTGATCAACAAAATCAATTGAATCATTATTAATTCTATGTATAAGTTTCATATATTTTTCTCTTAAATCATATAAACGTTCTGATAAAATTTCAATATCTTTTCGAACTTGTACATCTTTAATTGATTCACCATTATCCGTACTTTCTTTTTTGTTTTGAATAAACAAACAAACAAAATAAGAATTTCAACGTTTTCATTGCACTTACTCCTGAATTCTCTATTTGACGTCATCTGCAAAAATGAAAAAACAGAAAAAAAAAAACTTGTTCATAAGCACCTTCGATAGATGTTTTATTGTTAAACAAAAAAAACAACTATAACTGTCCATGAAAGATCTTCAGGTAAGTGTTTTATTTTGATAACAAGAATAATAAGATAGAGTTTTTTTTCGCTCATAAATTAAAAGACAAAAAAAAACTATGATGCTCGTTTGTCTTCTTTTAATGATACCGTTCGATTGAATATATACTGAAAAAAAAGAAAAAATAATTATTTATTCTATTCTAATGAATTATTTTTATTTTATTATTACCTTATCATTAGTTGAATCTGGATCAACACTAAAAAATCCAACACGTTCAAATTGAAATTTATCGAATGGTTTAGCATTTTTAATGCCATCGTCAGCCAGAGCATTTTTATTAATTATTAAAGAATTCTAAAATAAGAAAAAAGTAAATTCGATAATAGAATCAGTTGAAGTTTTTCATACTGTATTAATATCTGTAAGAAAACCACCAGGTACTTCTTTAGGATCATCCGGATTTGAATGGAAAAATCTAGAGAAAAAACAAATAAAAAGAATGAATTATTTAACTTAAAAGAAATAAAATTTACAGTCGATCATAAAGACGAATTTCACATTCAATCGGATGAGATACCCAATGAATAAAACCTTTAGGTTTTGAAACACCTTCATCTGTTGCTTTTTGACATGTTACTTTCAATTCAATCGGTTCATTATTCGAATCCTATATAAAAACAAGAAATCTTTATCTTTCTTAGAAATTTCTATTTATGATTTTGAATTAATTACTCGAATAATATCTTGAATCGTAATAATGTAACCAGTATGACGTAATCCACAAGGTTGATTAGGTGCTAAACGTTTATAATCTTTTGCTGGTTTCTAAATGAAAAAAAGATTAAAAAAACGAAAGTTTTAATTCAAAATTAATAAATGTTTCATGTTATCAAATCGATGAAGATAACTGATATGCTATAGAAAGATATAATGAGTGAATCATCGCTCAATTATTTATACAACATGGCCAACGCTCAACTCATCTCCAACCAACAATTAAGAACAATTGTCCTATGATAATTGTTTCCGAATTCGGTCCTGATTTATCTTTCAATCACGATAAAAACTAAAGATGACGGTATCAGAAATAGCATCAGTACCGTTGGTAAAAAACTCATATCTGTTCTATTTCTGCAGAGGATATCATACTCGTATATCATTAGATCACTATTTTGGATTCAAAATGATAAGCTATTCTGCAATGTAAACATCAATCTAATCGTTATATTCGCTATTGCTGTCACTGCTTGTTCGAAATGTTTTATTGTACCAATACTGAATGAAGACAAAAAGACGCTGAACTGATTAAACTTTCAATACATTGTCAAGCGTGTAAACAAGACCTACGTTAAATAACGTTGTCGAAACCTAATGTGCTCAAATAGGGTGTAACTGAACAATAGTTCATATAAAACGAATACATCAGATATAGCTTTAAATTTCTAAATTACTAAATTCAAATATTTATCAATTGCTTTAATAGTTAATTAACATAATTCATTTTTTGATATCTCTTTCTTTTTCTTTCTCAAACAAATAAATATAAAGACTGAAAAAATTTAAATTGATTAATGATCGCATTAAAGTCATTCGAGCATTGAAACCTATTTTTTACCTCATTAAAATCTGATTTTTCAATATAAATAACTGAATCAAATTTAATCGTATGTGATCCACGAGATTCATCAGCTGGAAAATTCGGTACAGTTAATTCCATAGGATTTCCACTTGGAAAATTTGTAATTGTTACTTTCAATGGTTCCGTAACGACCATTACTCTATAAACAAAACGAGAATAAGAATAATTTATTTCCATGAAAAAAAAAAAAAACAAATAAACTTGATTTTCATACCGAGGAGCAGTAACATTAAGTACTTCACGTACACATGCATCAAGCATATCTGGATGAAGAACAGTCTGTGACATTGTTACACCAATACGTGAACAAAATAAAATAATTGCTTCTGGTGGAAAACCTCGTCGTCTTAATGCAGTTAATGTATATAAACGTGGATCATCCCAATCTCTAAATTTTAAAAATAGTTCGTATATTTTCTTTTTCTTTGAATATTCTTCTTACTTAACAATTCCTTCGAGAATCAATTTAGTAATTTTACGTTTTGATGTAACAGTATATTGAAGATTAAGACGACCAAATTCCCATTGTACCGGACAATAAAGATCAAGAGCATTGCATAACCAATAATATGAAGAACGTCTAAATAAATTTGTATTTCTCAAAATAAAATTGTTTTTTGTTGTTATTTAACAAACCTTGATTGAAATTCTTTCGTACATAATGAATGAGTAATATTTTCAATTGAATCATTTAAACAATGTGTATAATCATATGTTGGATAAATACACCTATCAAAAATAAAATAATGACGAAAAACTTAAAGACAAAAAGAAAAATTTCTTACCATTTATCACCACTTTTAGCATGATGAGCATATTTAATACGATATGCAACTGGATCAAGTTTACCATCTTCCATAACACATTTCATACGTAATGTTGCTTCACCTTCAGCAAATTTTCCATATTTCATATCCTTTTTGATAATAAATATATATTCTTATAAAAATTAAATTTTTATTTTAAAATAAAATCTTACTTCAAATAATTGTAATGATTCTTGAATAGGTCGATTTCTCCATGGTGATTCTGGAACATTATATCCTTTTAATTCCTCACCTTTTTGATGACAAACATAAGCATGACCACGACGAATTAATTCTTTTGCCCATTCGTATAATTGATCGAAATGATCAGATGCATGAGTAATTTTATATGGTTTATAACCTATACAAAAGACCTTTTTGTAGAAAAAAAAAAAGCAAAGTGTTTCTTTTCTTAGAAATTTACCAAGCCATTGAACAATATCAAGAATACCCGTAAAAAATTTTTCTTCTTCTTTTTCTGGATTTGTATCATCATAACGTAAATAACAAATACCATTATTAGCCTTAAAATAAAAGATTTTTAAGATTTCTTTTTTTTTTCGTCACTAAATTACTTTAGCATAGCCAAAATTAAAATTAATTGCTTTTGCATGACCAATATGTAAAATACCATTTGGTTCTGGTGGAAATCGTGTGACAACCTAGAAAAAAATAAAAACGAAACAAAAGTTAAGATTTCTCTTCTTCAAAAAACGCCAAACTTCGTCAGAAAAATTGAAACTATGATGAATGAATAGGAAGATAGTCTATTTGCCTCTATTTTTTGTTTGAAAAAGAATATGAAATTGCAATACTTAGTAGAGCTCATAATTAAAGCTTTTTATTATTGTACAAAAACGCTCTTATATGAATACATGATCACTATTTGAGGCATTGAACTTGTTATCGTTTACTTCTACATAAAAAGTAGTAAGCAGAAAAGAACTTCGAGAGGCTATAGGCGGCCGAGCAATGTCAATTTAGAGGAGACTTGATAAAAAGTTTTTAAATGGTGATGACGAGACAAAAAAAGGAGAGGAGAGGTGGTTCACTTTTACAATGCTTAAGTTCTTCCTCTAGGAGTCTCTTAGAGCGGAAGCAGATTCAAGAGTGGTAAGAAAAGTAACGATCCCGCGTCTTCAAGAAAATTTTCGATTTTTCGAAACAAACAATAAACGAGCTCATACTGCCTTTAATCGTCTCTTTTTCTTCGAAAACCGTAGACCCAATACTGACTTAGAAGTATTGCTAACAATTAATTTTTTTTAAAGTTTCATAACAAATACAGCATGTACATTAGAATGTCGAATAGAGAAAACAAATGTGTAATAGGCAGGATGCAGTTCACTAGTCACTTATGTACTAAAAACCTTGTGACAAGCACTTCACTCGGGCATGCTCTACCGAATAAAAAAAATTAAATCTAAAGAACGAGTAACCAAAAGAAACTAATTTTGACTCTTGTTTGTTGAATATCTCTCTCGGACGTCATGACAGAGAGCTAAAAATTTCACTCGATTTGAATGCATCTGAACTAAGATCGATTTTTGAGAGGCGCTTGAATAAAAATCTTGATATATACCTTTCCACCAGTTTTCTTCAAATGTTCTTTTAAAAGATCCATTGTCTTTGGTGTCATAATATAACCTTCAGTTTTATAATTTTCACCTGTTAAAAAACAAGAAAAAATTGGTTTAATACAATTCCTTTTTTTTTTAAAAAAATTTACCTGGTTTATGAAAATTTAAAGCTTCACCACTTAAATCAGAATATGAATGTGTTTCACCATTTTCTTGAACTAAATTTAAGTCAATAAAAAGAAGATTAGGAAAGACAATCCAATTTTCATGTTACCATCGTTGTTTGTAGCTGCAGCTGCAGCTGGTTTGGCTTTTGTCGTAGATGGTTTTGCAGTCTAACAAAAATAATCATAAATAAAAATAAAATTTATAAAAATTTAATTTACATTTTGCTTTTGTGTTGTAGTTTTTGTTGATGGATCATTGGGACCAAGAAGATCAAGTAACTGATTAAATTTAAAAGGTAACTTTTTTATTTCATTTTGAGAAAATTTCTTACTTGAACATCCATTTCAGCTTTAACTGCTTTGCCGTCAGCCCATGGTAAACGTTTTCGAGCTTCACCTAGAAGAGTACCAATTGGAAAATCATAACGTTGTTCAAGTAAGTTGGTTTTATTTTGTTTAATTATTTCTTCGATAGTACGTTCTATTTCTTCTGGTGTAACTGTTACTCCTATGCCAGCATTTTCTTCTAATGCTTTTTGATCAATTGGTTCCTTAGGATTTGTTAGAAGATACTGAATAGCAGCTAAGAAAAATATATTTAATGTTCATGAGAATAAATCGTTGTTTGTATTGTTATTATTTTACCTGTTAATTGTAGGTCATTTTTAATTTTTTCTTCGCATATATATTTAATTAAATATTTATGTAGATGATGTATTTGTTGTTTACTTTTTGTTGCAAGTGCATAAAGAAGATTACCAATCGGTTTTGTTATTTGATTTTCTTGTGGTAAAAATTTTCTTGCCTAAATAAAAAAATAATTTGAATGAATGAAGAAGAACAAAAGAAAAAAGGCCAACTGTTTTATAATTACCTCATTAATATTTGTTTCAAGCAAACGAGTAACATCTTGATTTTTTAATGTTTCTCGAGCTTTTTGCTCATTCAAACCGATTGATTGAAAGAGAGCAACACGTGTTTCACTTTCAGTGGATGCTGCCATATCTCAAAAAAAAAAAAATATACACATAAATTGTTTATTTATTTTTTTATCATTTAAATAGTTCAGATGTCGGTCCCTCCCACAACTACTCATAGCTGATGCAATGCACCTTTCGGCTTATGTCACTATTGACTAAAATGATAGAGAAAAGAAAGAACATGTTATCGACCATATAAGTAAATATCCAGATTCTCATGATGTAATAATCAGTACGCGTTAAGATGCGATATACTATAAAATCAAGTCAGGAAAAGAAGATTTATCTTCGTTGCAAATTAAATCATTTTTTTTCAATATATCTGAAAGTTAAAAAAAAATATTTTTTATCATATGAATGCACTGCACATGTTCTATTCAGAATTCAAAAGCAATTATGAATTTTTTTCAAGATTAGAAAAAAAAATACAAATAATATATAAACAAAAGTTATCAGGCAAAAAAAAAACAAAACAAAATTTGTCACACGAAATATCACAGAAACAAAGAAAGACAAAATATAATTAAATTATATTAATGAATTGAAGACTATGGATTATGTTTTCGTTTATTATTATTATTATTACGTTTTTCAACACGTCGTCGATGATCACTTAAATATCGATCTAATTTATTCAATGTTTGTCGTTCTTCATCTATTAAAAGATTTATCTCTTGTTCAATATATGTTCGATTTTCAGCAAATTTCGATCTATATTCATCTCTAATTTGATCAAGTTCATTTTGACATTGTTCAACAAAATTTAATAGATTATTGGATGGTATTGGTCTAATTGGTTTTGTATCTGTATCAACACTTGTAAATTGATATAGAAGATCGGTATAATTGCTAGTTGTAGTAGCAGAAGGAAGTGATGATGATGGAACAGATAATTGATCAATAGAAGGAGCATGATCAATAATAGTTCGTGGTGGTGATGCCCAACCGGCTTCTACTTTTCTATTCGCGTAAGAAAAAGAGAGAATAGTTAATAAGTTTTGAGGCTATACAAAGTGTGCAATCAATAGCACTACGATAAAATTTTGAAATATCTGTTTCGATTTGCTCGAATAGATTCAGTGATAGAAGCTTGTTTAAAGGTTTCTGTTACAGATGGATAACATAAACAAATACTACTATGCAGTTTTAGTTTTCACTTCACTAAAGAAATTTCATCCTATGATCAAGTAAGAAAAATATATATGCAGCGTTTCATGGATCATGTTCTGTTATCATCTAACGAGAAAAGGTCTTCACTGATTCATGTCGTTTTCAATTATATTTTGTTCATATGCTGAGAATATCATTCTAAGACGGATTGGACTAATGAAAGTTCCTTCGAAGGTTATGACCATTTTACTGATTTTTTTTTTCATCTAGTACAAGATATTAACACATGAATAAAATATTAATGGACATAGTGCAAATCACATGGAGATCTTCCCTCGTAGGAGAACAAGAAGCCCAAGTGAATCAATTTAAATACTGAAATTCCTGCTCAATAAGTGAAAAGCACTATTACAGCCCTTTGGGCACTAACTTTCTCACAAAACCTAGTGTTCCATGTTTCAAAATTTAAAATTTGTTATCGTTAACTTTTAAATTAATTAACACTGAAAATTTGCTCCAAATGCATCAATATAATATCTTTCATAAAATTCCACTTGATTACATAGCTGAACAGGTACGAATTTTCTCGACCCAGTTCCATTTGATGTCTTCTTACTATCCTCTCAGATGGCAACTGAAAATTATCTACGAAACGCTTTATATGTAATTCCGTATTTCATATTAGGTGAAATTGATTTTTTGACACCAACTATAATACTTGATACTGTGTTTTGGTTGCCGGTTCTGTATGGAAAAAAAAAACTTGAAATAAACTTCTATCACTAACCAAGAAAACCAGCCCATTTAATTGAGCAGAAGTATAGATATTTCATTTTTTTAACTGTAGTGCTATTTATAGCCAATCTTGTACGAAAATTTTTTTTAGCTATGATTTTTTTAAAATCGATAAAATATTCATATAATAGTTATTAAATGATCATTGAGTGTACGAGTTTTTTCATTTGATATTGAAGTTCTTCTATTCCTTAATAAAAATCATCGAGTAAAACTTACTCAGGAGAAGGAATAGATATTGGTTCCGTCACAACAGACGGTGGTAGAAGATTTAAAAATGAAAGTAATTGTTGTTGAATATTTTCTTGATGAGTTGATGGTAATATGAACAGATGTGATTGGTTTTGTGCTTGTAGCAGATTAACACTAGGTTCTGGCACTGATGTTTGTGTTAGGACTGTTGATTTTACTTCAATATCATCATCATAATTATCAACGTCATCATCACTATCGTCCTTATTATTAAAAGAAGATAATAATGAAGTAAGATGACGAGATGCTTTTCTTAGTGAAAGATTAGTTCCTTGTAAACGTATATTAGGTGTATCAAGAATTTTCCTAACAGTTCTTTTGTCATTCAATTCAATAATAGCACATGTTGGATCATTTAAAAGAATATGGCAAGCAATAACCGGAGCACGTTTATGAAAATAATCACTAGAATAAATGAATAGATATATAAAGAAAATTTTTTATTTTGTTTCTTCATCTTCACATACATTAACATTGTTTCAGTTATTTTATTTGTTAATCCATGAATATGTATTTGATTTTCTTTATTTTTCGTAGATATTATTTTATTTACAAATTCTTTTGGATGTAAAGGTCTATAAATAGAAAAATTTCTATGTTCAGTTGTTATTGGTATTGTTTGTTTTTCAAATATTGTTGTAACAGATTGTCGATTATTTAACTCAAATAATAAGTATACTTGTTTATCTTGTTGTGATAAACAATGACGTAATGCTGCATCTATTTTTTTATAAAATTCTATAATTGTATGTATATCATTTGAATTTAATATTGGTCCAATAAAAAATTTACGATCAATATTTAATATAGCATTATTGGTTAATATAGTTTTATATAATTTTACATCAAGTAATATTGTATTAATTTCATGAATTTTTTCATTGAGAAATCTTTCTAATTGTTCATACTTAGCATATTCAATAATATGAAAATCACAAAATTTTTCTTTTTCGAATGATGATGAAACAATTGTACCAAAACGAGAACAATATGCTAATAATGTTCTATCATCAAGTGCACTTGTATTACCAATATAAACACATAATGACAAATTTTTAAACGAAGTTATATTTAAAGTTGATGCCATTAAAAAATATAAATTAAAATATAATAAAACTACGAAGACATCATTTCATGTATTTGGAATGGACAATGGAGTATTTTCCTCTGTTACAATGTTATTGGACAAACTATATTACCATAGACCACGATATGAGTAGAGGTCGCTCTTTGTAGACAGATTAGTCCATCTATAATAGCTCATTTGATGATATATAATTATCTGTAGAATACAAATCTTTTTCTAAATATACGAGTTTTATTCAGTTAGTGCTCGAAATAACTTTTTAATACTATGAATAAGTTCGAAATGTTTAGCATTGTAATACATTTACTTAGGAATGTTATTCTTCTTAGATGCTAATTCAGTAGAGATAAGCGAGATTAGTCATATTTGAATTTCGTGCCTCTTCTATTCTTATTGAGTGGTACTTTTGCATTTCATTGTACGGGAAAAAAAACGAATCGTTTCGGATGAAATCTTAATTAAGACGAATGTTTATTTTAAATTTTCATTGCAAATACTTATTCGATAAATAAAGAAAAACATATAATGATGCAATAATATGTATAAATTAGTCTTCGAAAAGTCCGCAACCAGGCAAAAAGTACCTAAATTTGAATATTTTCGTCGGATGTCTTTACTAGAAATAGAGTTTAGTAAACTCTGATTGCAGGCACTAACACGAGATCAATTGGTCTTAATGTATTGGCTTTAGAATGAAAACACTGTGGTTTTTCTGGCACCTCAAAAGATGGCTTTTTTGAACATTTTTTGGTTCTTCGTTATTTTTTGAAGCATTAGTATCCATATTTCTTAATTGTATCATCAATAAAAGACTTCGATCTGTAGTGATCTTAGAGAATACTGGATTAGAACCGATAACTCACTAGAGGCTATGTCAAGGTGAACGTTTCATAAACCAGACTAACTATAATTGTTTGATATGAAAATTTTATTAATAATAGAGACATTATTGACCTATTGTTCAGTTCTAACTCCTTTCAATGAAGATTGATCAAATCCTGATCGCCACTTGTAATCAGGATTGATTGCACTCTAATCGTGGCCAAAGTATGAGATCAAAGCATTCACTTCTAAATCTTTGCTATCCGGTAGCGAAGTTATTGACGACTACTATATATGGAAAAAAAATATTTCGATATCAAAAGAAAACGATTTCGAAGAATAAAACTAATTTAAGAGAGTAGTTTTATAGTTTCTTCATGATTTTTTTTGTTGTTGGCAGATGATGAACTAAATCGAATGACATTAAATTTTTTATGTGTATCTCGTAAGCGATAAATAATCCTAAACAAAAGCAAAGAAACATAGATAAATTAATACTTTGATGATGAATAAATCGAGTTGAAAAATCTTACAAAAATGTGGTGGTTAAAAAGACGACGAAGCTCATTATAAAGAATATAATTATTGTAACCTTCTCAACTTTAATATTATCACAATTGGTATTTATTAGTTCTTTAAAATTTTTATAAAAATTATATTGTTTATTTTCCAATAGTCTGTTTATGTTCAATTTTCGTTTAATCTTTACAAAAATAAATTAATTAAATATTGAATAGTGAAAAATTTTTTTTTTAACCTCATTGGATGTTTGTGAATTATTGAATTTTTCAATAATATTTGTACGTTCAGCAATTCGTTTTAGAAGCATACGAATTATTAATGGTAAAAGTAAAATTCGAGTATTTTTCTGTAAATTTTGGATCTGTCCATTGTTAAAACGATTAGAATCTTCATTCGATAACAAGAAAAATTTTTGATTGTTTGCTATTGGTAAGTTTTTATCGATCGACTTTTGTAGTTCTTTATTTTTATCATCATCAGAACGACGTATACCAAAAGCAATCATACGTACAATAATATTAAAAGATTCTTTGTATGTTTCATTTTCTTTGATGACTGTTAATGTCGACAAAATATGTTCATGAGGTTTTTTTGAAATGTTTTTCGATGAAATATCATAATTATTACTGTGAACAGATCGATAAAGATTAGTAGATAAAATTATCAGTAAGATTTCATGAAAAACCAAAAAATACATAGCATTAGAAGTTTATTTCAAGTAAATAGAAATAAATAAGAAAATATGTTGAATAAAGTATAGAACTATTGAACAAAATTCATTATTAGGATTTTATTTTCATCTTTCAAATAAAGGCGCGTATAAGTATTCTATCAAATTACATATAGTAAAAACTGTTTGATGATTTTTGTTATGTAAGTTACATTTATGACTAGATGCCATTCGAGTTTCACTCGATTGTAAAATGCAATGCGAAGTTTCCTCTGTCAATTGACGTATAAACTGATATTGTCCAAAAAATGAATAGCTGTTGAATAATTGAATATGAAACACTTTTCTCCAAAAGATAATGACGCTATACTAGAACTAGAATTTTTTTTATCGTTGTAAATCGGGAAAGTTAGGTTTCTAACAATCAGATTCTCGAAGTCACAAAGAGAATGTGAAGTAGCCGTTGCGAAATTTATTATTAATAGAACTCTGTTAACAGATATAAACATGATTTTGAAGAATATTTTCTATTATCAGCTATATGGACTGTTAGTATAATTATGAAGAAAGAGAATGGCAGCCAGCTATTGTTGCTGTCTCCATTTGATAACTGTGTCTAGAGAGCGCGAGAGAGAAAGGAAACTTGGTTTTTAAGATCTATCACAAAAACATTTTCTCTAAAATATATTTACGCTGTACTCGAATTAGACTTCTATTGTCACGATAAATCGGAAAATTTATATTTCGATCATTCAACTGCTGATCGAAGCATATAAGGAATTGAACAACATCCAATCAGACGAGACTCTTAAAATAACCCGTTAGAATTTCATTGAAACGGCGTTTTATCATGTTCAATGGAATTCGAAAAGTTACATAACTGTTTTTCTTTCTGAATTTTAGGGTATATGATCATGATAATGATTGTGGTGGAAGTAATCCATCAGATGAAGCTGTTGATTGTGGTAAATGACTTTTATGTTTTACACATATCTGTTGAATAAAAAAAATATTATTTTAGTTCCTCGACCATGTGTGAATAAATACTTTGAATGTTCAACTAGTCATTGTATAAGTAATACAAGTCGTTGTGATGGTTATGCTCAATGGTAGGATAGTTCTAATAAAGCAGACTGTCCATCAGGTTCTGAAGGTTGACATGGTGTCCAATAGATCGTTTTGTAATAATACTCGTTGTATTAATAAGAACTGGGTTTGCGATAAAAGTAGCATGTTTTATCGATATTTTTTGTTCTATTAAATTAAAATAAAACGCTTTGGTTTCAGATAATGATTGTCTTGATAATAGGTAATCAATAAAAAATAAAAAGAATATTAACATATTTCATGTTTCCATCTTTTTTGTTTACTAATGAAACAATTGAATTATGCAAAACAGTGCCTTGTAATTCAACCAATCGTTTTCAGTATTAGATTTTTTTCTTTTTATTTTTGCAGATAAAAAACATTTTCTGTGAGAAACGATTTAAAAGAAGTATCGAGGTATATTAATAAAAATTTGGTTCTACTCCACAGATTATATATCAATAATGTCTCATTAAAGATGTTTCACCTCCTGATTAATTTGTTACAACTTAATTTTTTTCAGATTCGACTCACTCCTAATTAGGTCCTAGTTTGCCAACTAAGGTGTAAATCTTGGTTTGAATGAAAAGAAGGTCTACTGTCACTCCTGTAGCCGCCATCGAGCGCAGATCTTGTTTTCACGCCTAACAATTTATTAAAAACTCAAAGAGTTCAGCAATCTCTAGTTTTATTCAGCATTCGTAAAACGAAGCGTGCCAAATAGCTGGCAATAAGAATAGCGAACATAACGGTTAATAAAAGATCATGAAGACATGTGTCCCAAAATAGGCAGAATAAAACAATCTTCATGTGATTACTCACGACAGCGACATCGTGTGCTATGTGTTAATTCTGAAGAGTTGTGCTAATCATTTTTTATTTCAAGATATACGAATGGTCGATGTATCGATCAACAGCGTGTATGCAGGGACGTGAATAAGGTGGGAGGCGTTACCCCTCCCCCTGCTTTTGAAATTCTCTATGACAACGCCCCTCTAGCTTTAAAAATTGTTTATGTATTGCTCCCCCTCTCTCCATGCTTGCGAAATTTTTGTTATTTTTACTAGCAAAAGGGCGACAATAGATATAAAGTAGAGGTTTACTAACTCTTTGCCAAAAAGTACTGGGTAAAAATGTCTTTATCGAACAAGATATAAAGTGAAAAAAAAAATTTTACTTCACGAAAAAGTGATAACTTTACAATTACAACCGATCCAAGAAGACTGATATATCATTTAAGCAATTTCTTATTACATTTTTTATGCCCAAAAAGTTTTATTTTTTAAATGACCACGAGCGCGGTCGCCTTCGTCCGCAATAACTTTTACACAAACGTCAACGGTTTCATTCAACGACGATTGAGTTTTTAGAACGGAACAACATTGAAACAGATTTTTCACCTGCCGACAAGGAAATTTCGCTTGCATAAATAGTATCAATTGCATCAAATGTAACCGTATTTTGAAGGCTTAAAACTTATTTCTAGGAAGTTTTCATTAATGCTACATTCTATAAAGTATCATTTCAATCAATAGTTGCTAACATGCACGTCTTCGGCGTTAGACATACCTGGAAACGTTTTTGACTCCATACGATGACGGTTTCCTTCCTCTCAACGAAGAAAGGTAAAAAGAAAAAAAACTTCTTATCACATTATAAGATGCTTCTATGTCGAAAGTATTTTTTGTAATATATCGAGCAAAAAAGATTGCAGTGCTGAAAAGATGTAGATGGGTCTCTCAATCCGTATTAACTCGGAACAACCGTGTATTCCTTTTCAACTCATTCATTTTTCTATCACTATCTCTTTGTATGCGTTTTTCTGATTTTTAATCAATGCTTCTTTTCTACTCTAGTATTTACTGAAATGTATTGTCTATACAAAAAAGAATAGCAAACA